GTAAATTATACAATGCAGTAAGTAATCTCAACATGCATTACAAGTACTAGTTTTTCTCTGGATCAAAGTGAGCAAAGTGCTGCCTTGTGCCCTCGTTGAAAAAAAACGTTGTTTGTAACTCGGACGTAAACATAAGTACACCAACGCGTCGTAGTTGTGCTGTGTGGTCATGGTATGTAAACTACTGCATTTGAGTTTATCAAATATGTACTTTAATTAAACAAGAATTTTTGTAACTTTGCTCAATACTAAAAAGATCAGGCGTTTTTGCGTACTCAGGGACCTTCTGTTCAAATCAACTTATTTCTGTTTAATGAAATATAAAAAAAGTTTATATGGTGATGTAGAAATCTGGACTACTCTAGTTTGGCCATCTAATAGTCTTGTTAATACAGTTTAATCGTGCAGGCTGTAATTTAAATGCAAAATTCTGAGTCATACTTTTTTTGAACGGGATATCGACGAATTTTAATACGACATACTTTCTGGTCTAGTGACTCTTACAACCTGCTAATAGGGTATACTCATCCAAAGTGCATCGAAGTATTCGTTCCCAAATATTTTGACTAGAAATAAAAAAATCTTTATATCAAAGTATTCCTTGACTATTTTGCCTAAGCATAAATTAAAACCGATATTCTATGATTTTTTACGTGGAATGTGTGTTGTTAGCAACGAACATCCGCAAAATAAAAAAAAAACCTGGTATGGGTCTCGGGACCCCGGCAGAAGTGAAACTTCCAACTCGAATGTTTTTAAACTCGGTATAATAAAAACCAAGCAAACTAGAGTAAACCTGATTTCAATATATCCTTCAGAATTCCAAATTAAAATAGTAAAAATTCTAATATTATTACGTATTCGAGCACGCGCGTGCGTAGAATACATATACCTTAATATACTACTTATGTTATGATTCACGCATTATAAGTACTTCCATGTTTGCTATGATACATGTAATAAATGTACGAATTGTTGGTCATGTAATGCAGAATCAAACAAAAAATTTCACTATACTGCACCTAAAGAAAGTACTTTTGTCCCATTACGTGGGACAGAATACCTTTTATTCAAAATAAATATTCGTGCACTTGATACATCATATGTGTACAATCAATTCTAGTTGGAATCTTTGCATCCGACAAACAAAAATTTTTTTTAATTTTGGATACCATAAAAAGTCAAATAATTCACTATATCTTATTGAGATTAAGGAAAACAATAGACATACAGCTATTTTCTATTATACAGTTATAATTTTTCTTTTTATTCGTTTTCTATAATGACTTATAATTTAATATTAACATTCACCCATGCTTAACTAGTTTCTACTGATCTCAAAATCAATAGAAAGAATAGAGATTTTTGTCACGTGACAATTTTTCTTATAATATGTTATAGAGAACAGGAACTAAATCTATTTGTAGGTAGGATATGAAGGTTGTAGCTTTACCTTTGAGATATGATTTATTATTTTCAGAATTATTACGATTATTTGTATGAATCTGTGTAACATATTTTTGCACCTTAATAATTACTTTCTATACGTGGAATTATTTTTGTCCTATCTGGATTCCTTTTCGAGATATGACTGTTTTTCTCATTTTGAGAGGTTATGTTGTAACAAAAATTTTTCAAAGAATTTTTCAACATCCGTATTAATTTTCCAAACATGCCATACTAAATAAAAATTTTTTTTGACTTGTTCTTTTCATGATACAGTCGAAAAACCAAAAAATTTAGGTTATGTACGTGTATAGTCTAACTCCTCTCTATTTGTGTGCATCGATCATGGAGTACCCCCTCAAAAATCCCGTAAAAACAGTTATTTCGGGTCTATGTAGCTTCCTTGTCAAGATATATATATGACTGTTTTTTCAAATTTTGAGAGGTTATATTGTGACAAAAGTTTGTCAACAATTTTGTTTTGTTAATATTCATATCGATTTTTCATACACAGTATACAAAAAAAAGATTTTTTTTACTCGTTCTTTTCAAGATACTATCAAAAAAAGAGATAGTTGCGGTTGTGTTTGTGCATCGTCTAACCCCTCTATATTTGTGTACCTCGATCATGTACATCCCCCTCACAATACTAGTAGAAATCGTTATTTTTAGTCAATTTTGCTTATCTTTCAAGATACAACGTTTTTTCTTGTTTTCAAGAATTAAGTTGCATTATTCATATGTAATATTTTACGTATGTTTTTTTTACATGTATATATATACACGTATGAAAATATAAACAGGACATAACAACTATTTTTCCTATGTTTTTCGGAGACTTCAAAGAGATGAAGCGATGTTTTGTGTCAGATATTATTTACCTGACAGTACCTTAGCTATAACAGAGTCTCTATTTAGCCCGTATGACAGCCACATTACGATTTCCACCTTGCACCATAAGAGAGAAGCTAAATCAGATATATGGACAGAGTAACTGCGGCAAACTATTATGCGCATGCGTGAGGGAGGGAGAGAGAAGAAGAGAGACAAGCAGATACCCTGCCAGAGACGGTGCACTCGGTGGCTGGTATACGTATAAATATACATAGATACTTGTGTGCTCGGAAGCGTTCGCTCGCTCGCTCGCTCGTTTCACGGGTTAACTCCCCATATAAGGCGTGCCTTAAGAAATTTTACTTCAAAAGATATGATGCAAAAAATGTGTTTAATTTTAAGTATATTTTGTGTAGGATTTTATGCATTTAACTTTTGTTCCCCTGTTTACACCACCTTATTCCTTTATCTTATTCTCCTCTATCTCTTAGCTTGCAAGGCTTTTGTGCGACTTCCTAGTACACAGTTCGCTGTAAATATCTTTTAATTTGGCCTACAGAATACTGTTTGCAGGGCACAGCGATCATATAAAACACAGCTTGGTTGTTATCAGATTTAATGCAATGATTTCTTCCATTTTGAATTGCACTTACCAAACCTACCTTTTTTTAATCTTATTGTGACTTTACTGACGAAACGGCAAGATTTTGGTTTTCCTTAAAAAAGGAGCCTCCTGGAAGGTCAGACTGCATCGAAATAATCCACTTACTCCGTAGGAAATTAGATAAATGTGTGATTTTTTGACACTTTGAGAAATCATTCTGCCAAAATGTCCCAAAGAAAAACTCAATAGTTTTCGATAAAGTTCGAACCTACAACCCTTAAGTTTTTTCACCTAAGAGGCTAATATGTCAATTACTGGGCTATGGGAGTCTGCACTTCAAAATATTATGTACATAAGTATACACGTATGATACTTGTCAACTTGTTTCTGAAAAATTAAAATAAAAATCTAAAGAAGAAAAATATCTTTTATTACTAAAAGATTTTTTTAACGAAGGAATCTAACAATATTCTTTTTGGAATTCGTCATTTTAAAGTATGTTTAAACAATGTTATGTTTTGTAAATTAAAATACATTGCAACAGACTTTCAGAAGTAGTTGACAAATATACGACGCGAACCGATCTCGGGTCGAGACATAACCAAATATATTCATGAAAACATATTTTTCATCAACTTGTTTACGTACATCTTAGGTCAGAATATTCTTATTCACTTTACGAAAAAGAAAGTAAAAAACGGAGAGAAATCAGTTATAAACCACAACTAAAATTCTGCTAAACATGGTGCTACAATGATGCGCACGTACACTGAGAAAAGTAGTGTTAAAAAAATTATTATAACTGTACTAAAAATTGCTATATTTTTCGGAAAGCTGAGCTATACTCACCCGATGACGCAAAATTAATACGTTTAAAATGATTTTTATTACATTTTAAGTAATTTTTATTATGCAGAAGCCTTACAAAAATTATTTAACAGCATAATAAAAATTATTATGTCTAACATAGTAAAAGTTGTGATAGTACAATTTTTGCTACACAACATAGTAAATTTTATTGTTATCATTTTAAAACGTACAACATTATAATGTAGAATTTGCTATGTGACATAGTAAAATTTCTCATTCCACTTCATTGCTATTCAGTATAGTAAAAATTACCTATTGATTTTCAAATTTGAGGTTACACGAAAGTAATTATGAAGAGAAACATATTATTTGATTTATTAGGGTTAAAAATTGATTCGTGCTGACAATTAATTTTGAATTGACTAATTATCCGTTGTTAACACCTTGGTCTACAGAAAACCCTTTGATTTTATAACTCTATTGTGTGTATGATAAACAGTACACGTTCTCAAATGTACTTTATTCACATTCACGCATACATTGTGTCTCGTGGTCTAGTGGTTGTGGAGCCTGACTCGGAAGCTCAAGGATGAAGGTTCAAATCCCAGTCGCTGCAGATCTTTTTTAAAATAAAAATATTTTTAAAATACATCAATATCTATGTACAATAAGAAAAAACGTATCTATATACATTTTAATCTATATACATTAACCTTCTGATAAACATATATAATTACTGGGCAATACGAATGTAATATATTTTTCTTGTCTTACTTCAAAATAAAAATTCTTTCTGAGCAAAGTAAAAAATACTATGTCGAGATAGCAAATTTTAATATAATCTGGTTTTACTATGTAGCATAATAATTTTTTTTAATATGGCGAGTATGTCACAGCTTTCTTGTAAANCCAGTCACTGCAGATCTTTTTTAAAATAAAAATATTTTTAAAATACATCAATAAAATCTATAAAAATTCTTTCTGAGTTAAGTAAAAATTACTATGTCGAAATACCAAATTATAATATAATCTGGTTTATTTTACTATGTAGCATAGTGATTCTTATAATATGGTGAGTATGTCTCGGGCTTTTCTATAAAATACAGTAATTTTTATTATAGTTGTAGCACTTTTCTCAGTGTATTTAGTGTACCGCTGGAAAAGGTTGTTTAAATAAGAAAGTCTAGAAAATGATAGGAAGAAAGAATGGTTGTCAGATAACAATCAAGGAAACAAAGTAGATGCAGAATGGGGAAATCCGGAGGGGGAGAAGTAAGAGATATGATCACAATAGCTGGATACTGACCATCGTCGGAACGCTTCGTCTTGATGCTGTTACCGTTAGGGTCCTGGTGGTGGGCTGGAATGCCTAGGATGCCGCTTATGCTATAAGCGTTAGTGGCTACAGTACCTTGGTGGCCTCCAGCTGTCGCAGGCGCATGTGCTATCACGGACACCGAACCACCTGTGCCTGCCTGCTGCTGCTGCTGTTGCTGGGGCTGACTCTGTTGCTGCTGTTGTTGAGCCTGCTGTTGCTGGTGTTGCTGGTGCGCATGCTTTGCCTTCTCTGCTGCCTTATTTCTAACGATTCTGTAACGAAAAATATGTATAAATTACCTTATTTAAGTTAAAATTTTTGTAAGCTTTTCTACTGTCACTCGAACAGGTTTACTTATTTTCATGCATACTTTTTTTTTATTCTAGTGCTTCACATCCCAGCTCTATCTATAAATTCTATTGTGGGCACTGATATGGTACTCAAGAGAAGAAGAACAAAAGATAAAAAGGCATACGGTGTGACTAATTCTTACGCCTGGTACGTGGTTCTCAAACCACGCCTCAATTCACAATTACCCAGAGCTTAAACGACTACCCCACCCAGAAGTTAATCAGTCACTCACACACCAGCGACCGAATAAGCCAAGGGGATCTGAAAAAACTGTCGTAGGAAAAATCCTAGGAAATCTGACCTAGTTCGCTTGAATCTTAACTGGATCTTGACTTAAGTCCCACGTTATACCAGAAGCACAAGTACTATTAACCACCCCAAATGCTGCATAACTTCAGTGATCGATAAAACTATGACTCTACCTCTACTCCACTGTGACAGTTTGCATACATACTTAGATTATAGAGCCGGATAACAGATCTTTGAGGACCAGACCCTGGTTCAGAAATACCAGATCAAATCCATAAAAATTACTGTGCAGAATGGTAAACGTGGGACTATACAAAGTCACTCCGGACTTTTTACCTAACCTTAACAATTTTTATCGTTACACCAAGGAAAAATCATTGGATACCCAACAAAAATTCCCCTCACGACTTACGAGCCAAAGTTCACTGTAGGTAACACAGTGACCACAGTTAACGTATTTGTTGTCAAGTACAAGATGTGACAAAAAATGTTTTTTTTTAACTACTTGATTGTAGTATGCTATCACTGTACTCATTTTTAATTTTTTTTTTTTTTTTTTTTTTTTTTTTTTTGAGGTTGGACAAGCCTTTTTTTTTTCTAATTTTGCTTATGACAAAAAATGTTTTTTTTTAACTACTTGATTGTAGTATGCTATCACTGTAAACTCAATAGTTTTCGATAAAGTTCGAACCTACAACCCTTAAGTTTTTTCACCTAAGAGGCTAATATGTCAATTACTGGGCTATGGGAGTCTGCACTTCAAAATATTATGTACATAAGTATACACGTATGATACTTGTCAACTTGTTTCTGAAAAATTAAAATAAAAATCTAAAGAAGAAAAATATCTTTTATTACTAAAAGATTTTTTTAACGAAGGAATCTAACAATATTCTTTTTGGAATTCGTCATTTTAAAGTATGTTTAAACAATGTTATGTTTTGTAAATTAAAATACATTGCAACAGACTTTCAGAAGTAGTTGACAAATATACGACGCGAACCGATCTCGGGTCGAGACATAACCAAATATATTCATGAAAACATATTTTTCATCAACTTGTTTACGTACATCTTAGGTCAGAATATTCTTATTCACTTTACGAAAAAGAAAGTAAAAAACGGAGAGAAATCAGTTATAAACCACAACTAAAATTCTGCTAAACATGGTGCTACAATGATGCGCACGTACACTGAGAAAAGTAGTGTTAAAAAAATTATTATAACTGTACTAAAAATTGCTATATTTTTCGGAAAGCTGAGCTATACTCACCCGATGACGCAAAATTAATACGTTTAAAATGATTTTTATTACATTTTAAGTAATTTTTATTATGCAGAAGCCTTACAAAAATTATTTAACAGCATAATAAAAATTATTATGTCTAACATAGTAAAAGTTGTGATAGTACAATTTTTGCTACACAACATAGTAAATTTTATTGTTATCATTTTAAAACGTACAACATTATAATGTAGAATTTGCTATGTGACATAGTAAAATTTCTCATTCCACTTCATTGCTATTCAGTATAGTAAAAATTACCTATTGATTTTCAAATTTGAGGTTACACGAAAGTAATTATGAAGAGAAACATATTATTTGATTTATTAGGGTTAAAAATTGATTCGTGCTGACAATTAATTTTGAATTGACTAATTATCCGTTGTTAACACCTTGGTCTACAGAAAACCCTTTGATTTTATAACTCTATTGTGTGTATGATAAACAGTACACGTTCTCAAATGTACTTTATTCACATTCACGCATACATTGTGTCTCGTGGTCTAGTGGTTGTGGAGCCTGACTCGGAAGCTCAAGGATGAAGGTTCAAGTCCCAGTCACTGCAGATCTTTTTTAAAATAAAAATATTTTTAAAATACATCAATAAAATCTATAAAAATTCTTTCTGAGTTAAGTAAAAATTACTATGTCGAAATACCAAATTATAATATAATCTGGTTTATTTTACTATGTAGCATAGTGATTCTTATAATATGGTGAGTATGTCTCGGGCTTTTCTATAAAATACAGTAATTTTTATTATAGTTGTAGCACTTTTCTCAGTGTATTTAGTGTACCGCTGGAAAAGGTTGTTTAAATAAGAAAGTCTAGAAAATGATAGGAAGAAAGAATGGTTGTCAGATAACAATCAAGGAAACAAAGTAGATGCAGAATGGGGAAATCCGGAGGGGGAGAAGTAAGAGATATGATCACAATAGCTGGATACTGACCATCGTCGGAACGCTTCGTCTTGATGCTGTTACCGTTAGGGTCCTGGTGGTGGGCTGGAATGCCTAGGATGCCGCTTATGCTATAAGCGTTAGTGGCTACAGTACCTTGGTGGCCTCCAGCTGTCGCAGGCGCATGTGCTATCACGGACACCGAACCACCTGTGCCTGCCTGCTGCTGCTGCTGTTGCTGGGGCTGACTCTGTTGCTGCTGTTGTTGAGCCTGCTGTTGCTGGTGTTGCTGGTGCGCATGCTTTGCCTTCTCTGCTGCCTTATTTCTAACGATTCTGTAACGAAAAATATGTATAAATTACCTTATTTAAGTTAAAATTTTTGTAAGCTTTTCTACTGTCACTCGAACAGGTTTACTTATTTTCATGCATACTTTTTTTTTATTCTAGTGCTTCACATCCCAGCTCTATCTATAAATTCTATTGTGGGCACTGATATGGTACTCAAGAGAAGAAGAACAAAAGATAAAAAGGCATACGGTGTGACTAATTCTTACGCCTGGTACGTGGTTCTCAAACCACGCCTCAATTCACAATTACCCAGAGCTTAAACGACTACCCCACCCAGAAGTTAATCAGTCACTCACACACCAGCGACCGAATAAGCCAAGGGGATCTGAAAAAACTGTCGTAGGAAAAATCCTAGGAAATCTGACCTAGTTCGCTTGAATCTTAACTGGATCTTGACTTAAGTCCCACGTTATACCAGAAGCACAAGTACTATTAACCACCCCAAATGCTGCATAACTTCAGTGATCGATAAAACTATGACTCTACCTCTACTCCACTGTGACAGTTTGCATACATACTTAGATTATAGAGCCGGATAACAGATCTTTGAGGACCAGACCCTGGTTCAGAAATACCAGATCAAATCCATAAAAATTACTGTGCAGAATGGTAAACGTGGGACTATACAAAGTCACTCCGGACTTTTTACCTAACCTTAACAATTTTTATCGTTACACCAAGGAAAAATCATTGGATACCCAACAAAAATTCCCCTCACGACTTACGAGCCAAAGTTCACTGTAGGTAACACAGTGACCACAGTTAACGTATTTGTTGTCAAGTACAAGATGTGACAAAAAATGTTTTTTTTTAACTACTTGATTGTAGTATGCTATCACTGTACTCATTTTTAATTTTTTTTTTTTTTTTTTTTTTTTTAATGTAACGGTTGGACATTCTACCATTTTAAATAAAAATTTCAGTACAATAATTTAAATGTATCAATTGAATTTATTTAAATACTTGTAACCTAAGCTGATTTGACGTTGCAAGTGGACCGTCCAATATATACATAAGATTTTTGAAGAATGTATATACTATAATAAAGAATGTATAAGACTACAATAATTTTATTACTTCAAATACAATGCAATTCAACTACGGTCTCTGTTTAACTACGGTGAAATTTGGCTCGTGAGTCATGAGGGAAATTTTTGTTGGGCGCCCGATGATTTTTGCTGGGCGTAACGGTAAAAATTGTTAAGGTTAGATAAAAAGATCGGGGTGACGCTATAGTTCCACGTTTACTGTTCTGCACGGTTATTTTTATGGGCATTTACCATAAAATTTGTAAAAAATTTCTCTCAGTATAACTATATTGTTTCAAGATTTCTGAACGATTGCATGTTTACTTCTAAAATTATAAACGTTTCAACTTTACTCTTTTAATACAAGATCGTAGGAACAAAAAACGTAAATCTTATATTTCTAGTTATTGTAGAAAAATTCTTCATTAGTAATACATAAAAAACTTATATGTTATTTAGCACGTCTTTAGTTATGGCATTTATTAAGCACAAAGCGACTGCTAGTGCAGCATTTTGCAATGTATGTTGGACTCATTGTAATTAATGAATCTTTTAGGCTGTGTTAGTGTGAATTTAGGTAAACATTTGATAATTCGTGTGAAAAATCGTGAAATAATCGTTAGTTTAAATAAGTAAATGTGAATGTTTGGTCACACCCACTCCCTTTCACTGTTGGAAAAATTTGTATTGGAATTAATAACTATATATTGGAAGCAAATTTTATTAGCAGTTTTGGAATGAAATTAAAAATTCACTTTAAAGTTTAAGATTAAAATTTAACAAATAGTTTACGAGTTTAATATCGATAGAATGGTGCTATTTTAAGAAGTACGTGTAGGAAATGAATAAATAGAGTATCAATTGTTTAGGCACCAATATGTCAAAGTAATAATCGTTTGTACAGTATTTAAAAAAGTATATTACGTACGAGTTTGCAAAAGCTTTGATTTACGAACCGAGAGGTTTACGGTACGAGCTGAAGACGAAGGACGTAACGAGGTTCGTAAAGAAGCCTTTTCAAACGACTTTCGTACATTATTTTTTCGATTGAGAACCCAAAGTCAAGCGACGAAGGTGCTAGTTTGCAGCACGAGGGACCTGCAAAGCAGTGAATATATATTTTCCAACCTTAGACGTTTTTGAGGGTCGGGTGTGCCCTTGGCAGGAAAAATAAGATTCACCACATAAGTGCCATCGCTCCACGGCTGCCTTACGTCCCTCGGGGCCTGCTTCGCAGGTCTTTCGGGCTGCAAAATAGCCCCGGAGATTACTATTTCTTACCATGGTTCTAAAGTGCAACTGCCAGTTTGCGCCTTTGGATCACACTTTGCGCTCTTGTAATCACTTTGGGCCCACGGGCAAAAAAGTTTTTTGCACCCTTCGGACCCAAAGTACTTTTGTGCCTTAGAGCCCAAAATAATTTACTGGGTGCAAAGTGTGCCCACGTGCGCAAAATTGCACTTTGCGCCCTGGGTAAGAAAAACATTATACGCGACTTGGGCATTATCATACAACAACCGCGCCTTTTGGGTGCTTACGTTTGTCGTATGAGCCCTAGTGACGTAATGTACCATTCATAACTAAGTATTCGTAAAAAAATTTTTTAAGTTATACATATATCCTTTATTAAATGTACAGTGTGGTAGTTTTCCTACGAGTTTGAAAAGTCTCTGTTTGCGAACTGAGAGGTTTGCGGCCCGAGCCGAAGGCGAGGGACGTGACGAGGTTCGTAAATGAGACTTTTCGAACGAGTTCCGGAAAACTGCTTTTTCGCCCGAGGAAGTACCAGCCTCCCAAAACCACCCGAGAGCGGAAAATATTATTTTAATAATGAAAAAAAATTCTTTTTCCGCCCTCGAGTGGTTTTGGGAGGCTGGTACTTCCTCGGGCAAAAAAGCAGTTTTCCGATACTCGTTCGAAAAGTCTCCTTTACGAACCTCGTTACGGACCTCGCCTTCGGCTCGGGCCGCAAACCTCTCGGTTCGCAAACAAAGACTTTTCAAACTCGTAGGAAAACTACTATTTGTTTACTAATGTAATTGTTGACAGCTGTAAACTTAAGATCGGTTACGCATTTTTTATTTATCATTATTAAAATAAGTCATAATTATCGAAAATTAACTGATTTCCTAATTATTAATGATTTATTGTATTATGTACACATATAAGATATAACATACGCTTTTAATTATTTATTTTAATACGACCATACCTATATTATAAGTGAAACACAAAAAATTAATGGATTAATAAATGTTGAAGCAGGGTCTTGAACTCCAAAGCTCTTGCACTGTCTGGCATTTTAACAGCTCACATACATTTCTGCATGCTAGAGAATGATATATATTCATACATGCAATGCAGTTGTATTACTATTGAAATAAACAACAGTATCTCAATATTTGTATGAAACAATGTGTATTTTTAACAGATATTGACTATAATGTACTAAATAAATAACTATTTAATCGTCAGTAATGTAAAAATTTAATACTGATATTTATAAAAATTTGAAAATTTTTTTAATTTAAGAAAATTTGAATATTTTTTATATAAATTTTTTATTTCTTCGAATCTTAAGATTTGAAAGTTACTAGATAATTAAAATGTATTGAATTTCACGTTCAAAATAAAAGTAAAATTTCACATTTTTTAATTATTTGTAATGTACTACCATGTTGTCATGAGCAAAATTAATATGCCATTTTATAGAAATTGAAGTTTATTTGGTGAAATTATATGTTTGGAATACAACGTTTCAACTTATAATTTCCATATTCAAACTCGAGCTAATAAGCCATTAATTTGAACCATAATTGTTCTTGTATTTAAATAATTTTCAACAGCAATTCTAATTTTAAAAAATGTCAAATATTTGAAAAATGTTCATCTTCTTTTCAATTTAAAATTACGTACATTTTTACGTTTCAGTAATTGAAATTTAATGCATTGGCATTCTTAAAAATTGTAAGTTTGCATTTTAAAATCAATGTAAAGAATATAAATCGTATGAGAAGAGGCACATGAATTATGATATTTCTGTTCAAGATATCTTTAAACAGTACTTTTCGAACTTGGCGAACTGAGTTATTTAAGTCCTTGTACATTTACTGAAATTTGATAAATTAAGTATAAATTTAACATTTTTTGTGTCTTATTAGTGACCTTAGATATAAATCTGTCTCTTTTATTTTACTGTCCTCAGCGTTTTTACAATTATATTCGCTCCGTGCATCAGGTTGGAGGGGATAAAAAAAACGACTGCAGCGCTGTAGGTGAGCAAAGTTGGCGAACCCGTACCCCCATGAATCGTACAGTAAGCGTTGTCTTATATGAGAAAAGATATTTTTTCATTTAAAGTAATTAGTTGAGAAATCGAAGGCGGAAAACAAATGTTATTTAGCCAAACCGGGTCTATAATACGGATAAATAATTTTGCTAGGTACTTTAAATCACCCGAAATTTTAAATAATGGGTTATTAAATATCATCTGTCATACAGTACACAACACACATACTTATCTGTAATGTTGTATACGTGAGAGCAAGAACTCCAAGCAGTCGACGTAAGCTGCCGCTAGCTGTATAATCTGAATCAGTGTTTACGTTTACAAAGTAACGAAATGCGAACGAGACAGTGCTGCGTTGTGAATTGCAACAAGAAAGAAAAGCAGAGGGTGGTGCTGTATAAATTCCCAGGTAGACCCCATACGTCGGAGATACAGCGGTCTTCGTTAATCTGATAAATAAATTACACATTTATGTATATGTTACCATAACCTACATTTGTCAAGCATAGGCAATAATGTACTTACAGATAATACTACTTTGTATGGATTTAAGCTGACAGAGTTTGTCTTCCAACATAGCAATTGATCAGATGACCGACTCCTTTATTTACATATACCTGTACGTAGGCAACGTGGCCACTCTCTACTAATTTTTCAGCGTTTCATTA